CCCTCCTGGTGCATCACCCCCGAGCTATTTCCCTCCTGCATAGCGAGGAGTGCCAAGCTTGGGCCAAATAAGCTGTTCCTGCTCCTCTACTCTGGAGCCTGTTCCTGTACAACATAAAGTGAATAATTGCTTTGTTGCTTACCAGGAGGAGGAGGAACGTCGGCACAAGGAGCTGATGCAGAAGAGGAAGGAAGAGGAGCAGGAACGTGCCAGGAAGATTGCGGAGCAGAGACAGGCAGAACAGGAGAGAGAGAAGCGGCTGGCTGCCGAGAGAGAGCTGGAGAGGAAGAGAGAACAGGAGAGGATCCAGGCAGACAAGTAAGACAATACCCATTTGTGTACTAAATTCTGTGTCAGGGCTTTGAAAAGAAGCGGGGGAAGCGGGCACTAGTGCAAGGCCCGAGCGGCGAGGAGCTGCTCCGTGCTGCCAGCGCAGCTCTGGACCCACACGGGTACTGAGCAGCCAAGACGAAATCCTGGGCTCAGCGTAGGAGGTGGGGAGCACCCTGGGAAGGTGTCAGGAAAGAGGCTGGGGGGCACCCCTGTGTAATGGTCTGCTGCTTTGGTCCTCAGGCTACGTGAGCAGCAGGAGAAGGCTGCTCGCCTGCAGAAAGAAGCGGCTGCTAAAGAACAGCTCCCTGAGGAGACAGAGAAGAAAGCAGTAAGTGCTCCCTTCGTGTGGATAAGTGGAGCCGCGTGGGTCTGACTTAGAGGTGTTGCTGTCGGGAGCAGCAGCAGCCCTGATGTGAGCTGAGCAATGCGAAGGTGCTTTTGCCCAGCCTGCTCTCTGGCCATATGGAGAGCTGCGCTCTCTTTAGGTGGCAGCAGTGCGAGAAGAAAGGATGGGGAATGCACCTGTCGAACTGAAGTGGGGCTTTCAGCTTTCCCCGTGCCTGTGCCCCTGTCGATACCAGACAGTAATTAATCCCAGGCTTCTCAGAAGCAGCATCTCCATTTTACATTTGTGCCACCTTCCGCAGGATCACGAATACAGGCTGTTGACTTTGTCAGGTTATTTTCTGCAATGGTCATGCCAATGTAGGTTAACTAAGCAGATGGGATTAATTCACTTGATTTGAGGTTCCCTCTGTTTGAGTTAACAGCTTCGTGGTTTCTTGTAGATCCGGCAGAAGAAACAAAGCATTCATAGGGCAAGGTTCTTTTGACCTGCTTGGGATGGGTCCTGTGCAATGGACTTGGCCTCTAAAAATAAAAAGGGGCTAAGATCAGTAGTGCAGATTTTTCCAGCTGCAGATGCAAGTTTTTCAAAGCATGAGGTCATTGAATTATCGGAGGAAGGCAACTAATGCTCTTCAATGGGAAGGCCCTTTTGTCTGTGCCACTTTGAGAGGAAAGCTCAGCCTGTTGTCTTGCGTTCGTTTCCTTGCCTGCACTGTGTTCCAGCTGCTCCTCGGCAGCACAGGCAGCACACACCTGCACCTAGATGCTTAGGTGTTTTTTTGCATATCAGAAAAAATGGATCCCTGGACCAACAGCTTAGTTACCTCCCAAGATTAACCCGTTTGTCGGCTTCCAGCAGGAGGAGCAGAGGCTAGCAGAGATGGAGAGGCAGGAGCAAGAGCAGAAGAAACTGCCAGAAGAACAAAAGGCCACAGATATAGCCCAAACACAGCAGCTAGAAAACAAAGAGGTAATTCTGGTGGAATTCCTTCAAGGGATGACATCAGAGAACCTGGATTCCAGCGCTGACGTGCTGCTTCCACGGGGCAGTTTGTATCCTCCCCTTTCATATTCCCCTTCGGTAATGAAGGGGTTCTGTAAATGTTTTTCATGGCTATTTCAGGTTGACCCCTGGTGGCCTTGAGTATTTAAATTAGTTTTGGGGAGTGAAAAGAAGGGAAGCAGCGAGTATTTACCAGGGTTGTCTCATTGTCAGGACACGGCAGTGGCTGTTGAAGCTGCCTTACCCTCCTAAGCTCCTCTTTAAAAGCTGGATGAGCCTCGCAGGCAGGAGAGATGCTGCAATAGTGAAGTTCAAAGCTGGGATCAGCCACGGGATGGCAGCAGAGCCTGCGGAGCGGGGTGGCCGTAGGGCCTGGCTGCTCCTGGGGCTTGGGGAAAACCTGCTGAGTCCAGGGGTGGTGTGATGGGCTGGCATCTTGCCGTGCTGCTGCACCCCAGCACCCGTGGGATGTGTTTGTCTTCTAGAATTCACCTTCCTGCAGCTCATATGAGATGACTCCACAAGGCCCTAAAGTCCCAAAGGCCCCCCTGGTAAATCCGAACGACTATGGCATGGACCTGAACAGCGACGACTCTACTGATGACGAAAGCCAGCCTCGCAAGCCTGTCCCTGCCTGGGCCACAGGTACGTTTTTGTGCAGGTTGGTGTCTGCCAACACAGCCTCCCGCAGCTTTGCTCCAGCGGGCAGGAACACCTGGTGTAAGATTTTGCCCAATTCCTTCCACTTGCACGTTGTGGTTCAAAGCACAAATCCTCAGGAGGGCGGCAACAGCGCTGAGCCAAGGGCTCCTCTGCCACTCGGGGTTTCTGGTGACAATGTTGGCAACAGATACTCTCTCTCAAATTGCCCAACAGAGCTGCTGGTGTCATTTTGCCAGCATGAAAGGAGTGATTCTGAATTAGTGCTCTGGCCTTGAGCCTGCTTGACAGTGATTTGCCTTTAAAAAGCCCGGTAACGCCAGGTGTTGTGGAGCAGGTCTCGGATCAGACACTGTTTTGAAATACTCGGTTTTGTGATTTTCGTATTTCACCTACGCCAGGGGAGTAAGAAGTTGCAGGGAAGCTGATGGTAACTGCAGGAAGAAAAGCTGAGAAACCTTGCCTTGTGCAGAGTTCTTGTAGTTCCTGGAGAGAATTCAGTACACTCAATATTTGCCCTCCAAGTGATCTGTGGTGAATCTTTTAGGCTTAAACAGCATTGCTGCAGGATTTCTCCCATTTGCAATGTCAGTGCATGTAGGGACACACTGCATACAAACAGCCTACACAGCAATTTCAATTTAAAAAAAAAAAAAGGAAATGTAATCTTTTGTTTCTGCAGGGAATCAGCTTAGCCAGGCTGTAATCCGCCAGTACTACAACCCCCCCAACATCGATGAGATCTTCGGGGCGATCGCGAGCCCTAAGCTGGAGGACATCTTTTACAAAAGCAAACCGCGCTACTTCAAGCGCACGAGCTCTGCGGTGTGGAACACGCCGCCCTTCTCGGGTGCCGCATCGGGTGTGGATGCGTCCTGCAGCCTCAAAAAGTACTGAGGTGGGCACTGGCCCTTGCTTGTGAAGCCTGGTGAGAAAAGAATTGCTTCTCTGTGTCTGTAAATCTCTCCATATTAGCGCCGAATAAATGTTAGCTTTTACTGGGCCTCCTGTGGAGCTTTCTGTTCGCAGAGCTGCTTTTCTCGCTGTTGGGCAAAACAGCAAGCTTCTGCGAGACAGGGCCTTGCAAAGACGCATCCCCTTTTACCCTTAGCTCTAAGGTGACAAAGGTTTAGACCTTTATGTCACGAGAGCGGTGCCATCCTGCCAGGAGCAGCTGAAAATTTTATCTCTGTCCCTGCCCACCTTGTGGCTGAAGCCAGAGGACAGCTGAGGACCACTGCCCATGTCTCCAAACTCCAAACAGGCACTAGTGATCTTCTCTGCTCGCTGTCTCTCATTTCTACTTGTAACTTTCCATTTCCCAGTGCCAAAAGCTCTTTCTCCACCTCACCTGTGCCCAGGTGGCCACCTCTCCTGGTTCTTGTTTGCTCTGCGTAAAACACCAACTCCTGGAACAACAAACAAAGAACAATCCTGGGGCAGGTCAAACCAAATTCTGCTGCTTCTTGCCTTGAGAACACTGTGTTTATTAAGTCCTTTTTTGTGTGCCTGTAGCCTAAAATGCTCACTGATGAGGTGGTTGTAGGTCTTTGCTTATGGCGTAGCAAGGTTAGCTGCGGGGTCCTGGGAAGGCGTGTGGTTCAGAGCTACTGTCTAGATGCAGCCTCAAAGCCATGATTAACATCATTCGCTGTAGCTCCAGACCTCCTTGTACCCAGGACTAGCCCTTCACTGGCTGTGGGTGAGGAGTAGCCTGTAGGGGACCAGCAAACCGTGTGCCAAAGGCAAAAAGAGTAAAAGTTGCATAAGCCCGGAAACAAAATGAGAAATAAAAGGAAAGCAAAAAAAAAAAAAAGCAGTTTAGTCTCATCCTTGTTCAGCACAAAAAGCCACATGGACAATGGTGCCCAAGATACCATGTGGGGTTGGGGGAGAAGGAGAGGGGCCAGAGGAAAAGCTGCATGACAGAACAGATGCTAAATCCTCTCGTTTTCACATCCTACCCTTCTCACGTCCCTGATTTGTCACCTCTGCCGCGTGCACGGGGCGAGAGGCTGGCTGTCCCTGGGCTGGCACGTCTCGGGAGATGCTCTGAGGTACCCGGAGTCCTTCCAATAAAGTTTGGACTCAGACTTTATCCTTTGTTCAAGGATTAGCCTGAAAATGTTACTAATTAAAATAGGTTCTAGTGACCTGATTGCTGGCACTATTGCCAGCAGTAGGAAAACAAGAAAATTAAACGCTTTTAGACAAATCCCGCAATGACATGAAGTAGCTTACAGTGACTATCCAGATCAGCATTGCCTGACAAGGGATGCACTTTTCCAAATGCTTTTTCCTACCTCCAGGACCATCGTGGGTCTTTTCAGGGACACCGGAAGCTTGTTTTCATCTAAATGCATCTTTCAGAGTGAGTTTTCCTCTTTTTGGGAAGTCGTGGGGAACAGGAGAGCTGATTTTCTGCAGCAGCCCCTTCTGAGGGCGCTGAGCCCCGCAGCAGCAGAAGCGTTTGGTGCTTACACCCTGGCACAGGAACCGTTCCCGGCGGAGCTGAGGCGAGAAGGGTCCCCCAGGGGTCCTGCTCACGCAGGGCCACCTCGAACCACCTCCAGCAGCTTTAGGGCATCTCCATGGAAGGAGACACCAGAAGCTCCCTGGGCAACCTGTGCTCAGAGAAGCGCCTGTGCCCTGAACAAGATCACGCTCGAAGCAATAAACCCACGTGGCTTGAGAGCGGTGCCACCATCCCACAGCGCTGCTGTGTCCCTGTCACGGGAACGCGGGTATTCAGTGCCACAGCTCCAGCAGCAAGATAATAACAGGATGTGTGTGCCATGAAAGGGCGAGCTCCCCTCCCACTCATCAAAGACCTCGTTAAGCTGCTTGTCACTAATCGAGCAAATCTGAAATTCACACTCTTTTAAAATAGAATTGCATACATTCTTTGTTCAAAACCAGAAGAACATGAAGAAAACCCCCTCATTTTCAAGGGCACCCTTGTTCACTCCCAGCAGGATGAGCTCCAGGGACGCAAAGATCAGGACAAGCTGCCGCCAGAGACAGCTGGTGGTAAAACCTCCCCGGAGCTCTTCAGATGGAATTCCTGAAACTTGCAGCTTAGAAACTGAAGAGCCACAGCAGGAAGCACGGAATCAGCCTCTGTTCTGGGGTCCCCGCAATGCTCTTTTGTCGCTTTGCTTTTGGGTGACCAGACCTCCGAAGTGACATGAGACCTTGGCTCTCCCAACCCAGCCTTGGGCTCTGGTGGAGTCCACTCGTGCATCAGGAGCTCTTCCAGCTCACTGGGCAGAATGAAAATCGCTTGGGTTGAACACGTTCACACGGGAGGAAGGGACGGGGAGGCTCCCGATCCTTCCTGGGTGCCAGCCAGCAGAATTAGGTCTGTAACTCAAGAATTAGCCACCTGTGCTGGGCATTGCTGCAACTCGCCAACAGCCTGATAATTTTGACCTTAGGAGTGTGCTTCACTTTTTTTTAAGTTGAGAAGCGACACTGTGGTATTATTCCAAAATTATAAACGAATCTGATCCAGCTGCTGGTTTGGAGTTTATGGAGCCAGCTTCTCCCCGCCTCAACTGTGCTTGCTTGGTGTAAAGCTCCAGAGAAGCAGCTATTAGTGTTCTTCCTTTATTTTCATTCATGCATCAGCCTACTCTTTTATAGATGTATTTCTGGGTCACAGATCATGATGCTTACAAAGACATGTTAGTTCTTGCAGAGCTGGAGAAGAAGAGAAGCAGGAATAACAATAGAAAAATATGGAAGAGACGTGGCAGCAGCTCTGCCTGAAATCCCATCAGAAGCCCGGCAGGAGCGAGCTTGGAAGCGCCTCGGACAAAGCAGCTCGATGCATCTCACGGGGACGGAGCGATCTCGCTCCTCGTGCCCGGCTTCAAACCCCACACATCCCACACGTAATGTCAGCGTGAACTCTCACTGGTGGGGCGCTCCGTCCGTTGTTCCGGGGCCAAGGACAGCAGCTGGTGAGAGCAGAGGTCACCCACATTTTTCATCTGTCCACTTCATAAACCAGCGTGACCTGGACCCGGTTTTAGCACAGCTGCATGACCTGCTGGGCCCATCCCTCCCATCGTGGCGCGCGATGCCCCACATATATACCCCCGCGTGGCAGCGTCCGGCCGCAAAGGACACTCGCGACGTGCAGACGATGGCGCGCTCCGCCGTGAAGCTGACTGTTCCTCTGCTCGTCACGGTGCTCTGCAGCTCCCTTGGTGAGTTTGGCCAATTAAAACAGACAGGATGATCTGTCCGGCCGCTTCCAGATCGGATGTGGGGGCTTGACCTCAACCAAGCTGAGAACCCGCCCAGCAAAACCTCGTGTGCTTTGCACGTGTTGCTGGGCCGGAGGGGGCTGAGGGGCG